GCATATGGGGGTTTGCTTGTGTTATTTTCGTGGTCTTCGGGTTCCTGGCTTGGCCCTTCCATGTGCGTGGGGTTCTGTCCACACCTGATTGTCCACCCCTGGTTGTGTTTCCTGGGGTTTGAGCTTTGGCTCTTTCGTCCTTCCTCTCCCCTGTCGCTTCCCTGGCATCTCCTTTGCTCGGTTTGCCTGCACTTGCTGTTGTATGGGGGGAGTCGGTTTCCGCCGCTTCCCTTCTTTGTGCGTTCCCTTTATTTCTCCTCTGCTGCAGGGGTTTTCTTCGTACGTTCCTTGGCTTTTTGGGCATTCTTTCAGCCTGTGTCATATGGTGCGCTTATGTGATTTGGACTGTTTTTGTTGCTCGTATCCCTTGATTCGGGTACTGTTCTGGTGGCAACCCTTACGCCTTCTTCGGTTTTCTTGGCGTGCCCTGCCTGTTGGTTTTTCAGGGTCTTGCGATGTCTCGCATCAGACCCGTCGTTTCTGATCTCCTGGCGAGCTTGCTCGCATTGGGTAGCTTTCTGTTTGGCAGACATTCCATCTCCTTTGTGCTGGCCTGGGCTTTGGTGGTCGCGCCCGAGATCTTCCCGCGGCTCCACCTTTTCCTGGGCTCGGATGAGCCTTGTCGAGGACTGATTACGTTCTGCCTCGCATGTCTTGCCTCCGGTTGGTGGTCTGGTGGCTTTTTTGTTAGTGTCCCACTTGCGTCCTTCTTGGTGGCAATATGGGGTATTTTGGCGGTCCTTCCTTTTCCTCCTGTCCCTTCTTAGGTGGTTGTGGTTGTTAGAGTCGGCTTGGTTTTTCTGGTGGGGGTGGGGGGCCGTCGTCTTGCCACATACTGTCGCCTCGTTTCATGCGGCGCTGGTCTTGGTGTTGCTTCTGCACCGTTAGTAAGCTGTCTCGTGCGTTGTTTCACCTCCGGCCTGTTCGTGTGCCGCTTGCATCATCCTGGCCTCTGGTCAGCGTGCTCTGTCTTCTCCTTGATTGGTGGTGCCCCTTCAGTTCCGGTTTGTTTTTCGTCGGCTCTTTTTCCTATTGGCATTTGCCTCTGGGGGTCGGGTCGCTGGGCTTCTTGTTCTCCTCCGCAGGGGTTTTCTGCTCCTTCGGTTTTGGCATTTTGGTTGCTCGGTGGCAGCAGTCTCCATCTTTTCTGGCACGAGATGGGGCTGCTGCATTCCGGAGGGGTCCTTGGTTTGTTGGTGCTTGGTTGGTCGGGCTGGAGGTGTGTTGTGTTTTGTGTTCAGTGGCAGCCCTCCGCTCTTATTTGCAAGCCGCGGCTTCTATGTCCGGGGCGCGCTTTGAGTTGATCCGGTTCCTTTCTTCCCTGTTCGCGGGTGACGGTGTCCCAGGTTGTCTGCCGTGTTATTGCAGCTAGCTTGCCTGTGTTCTTTTCCCATGTCTGTGACGTTCGTGGCTTCGCTGCTTTTGCTGCCGTCTGGGAGCGTGTTCTTGTTGTCATTCTGGCACGGATCTTTTAGTGTTCGTACAGGGTCCTTGCTGCTCGTTGTCTCGTGTTGTTCTCAGGCCCTTTCGGGGCTGTGTCGCTTTGGGTTGGCGTTTGCTGCCGGTTGTCTCGCTTCCGTTGAGAAGTGCATGGTGTCCGCCTCCTGGTTCTGTCCCTTTGACCTTCTTCTGTGGGTAGTTAGCTCCGGGGAGCCAACGGGGCTCCCCCCAGAAAACCAGCGTTGAATGTAATGAAACGCCATTTTCTGGGTGAGACCCGGAGGCTCCCTGGCAACTCTCCCTCCCTCCAGTCGGCGATTTTTCGCGTGTTTTGACATCCAGTCTCAGAACTGAAGGGCGGATAGCTGGCGTGAGAGGTCTGGGGCTCCCCCTTCCCCCTCCCGGGGGAGCTATGCAGACAGCGGCGCGGTGACGTGTGACGTCATACCAGTTTGCTTGTTTTCTGCTGGGGAGTTCTATCCACTAGTTCAACTTTTGGTAGCAATTTTAACCAGAATAGGGGTTTGTTTTGGAATGCTTACCTTTCTGGAAGCTTGACCCAGTTGATGGCAGACTTAGAATGCTTTCAACCACACGGGGGTTTCTATAGGCCATTGTTCCCCTTGCCTCTCTGAGGGGGCCAGATTCTGGCCGTGGTTTCCGGTAGGCCCTAGAACTCCATACACATGACTGATGCCAAAATCTTACATTAGCATATCAGGCTGGTAAAGCTCCGGGGAGCCTCCATGTCTCACTCAGAAAATAGCGTTTCATTACATTCAACTCTGTTTTTTTCCTGTTGAATTTCCTTGCCTAACTTGTAATCGCTAATATCTAGATTTAATTTACTTTAAAAGCTATTTTTACTATTTTATTTTCCTTCTCCAGGACTTTTAGCATTCTAGAGTTCCTTATCCCTGCAAAATTCCATTTTTTTTTATTTACTTTCCAGAGCTGTTACTTCCTACTACAATTTTCAATACGGCTTCCTAATTATTTCCACATGATATTTTACAATGGTCTTTATTTTTTGGCAAACTGTTGTGCAAACCACTTAAGCTAATATTTTCTTCATCAAAGCCATCAAAATCAATCTCTGCTGTGTTGACCTCTTTCAATACTCAGACCATCTTTGTTATCCTCATCTGCTGTTGTTTTGAATATCAACTTATCAAATTTTGTTCACTCACTTTTGTGTATTTGTTGTCACATATTTTTCAACTTCACTATACTGTTCCTTAATGTTTCCTGGGATACCACTCATGGTTATTAACTTGTTCTACAATATTTAGGCAATTGGGTTTTCCTGGAACTCCTTTATGTAACTGCTGGGCTATCTCCAGTACTGTAGTGTGTAGTTACTTAAGTGTAATTACCGGGTTGTTATTAAAAGATGGGCACTATACTCGTGGCGTCAGATTTCCGGTACTGTTTGTCATATGATACTGTACTTTGAAACTGCTGGTGGTTTTGGCAAGCATGACCTCCTCAGTTAACTTGTTCCAACCTTCTACCACTCTGTTTGCAAAATTGAATTTCTTATCATTCTTCAGCAGCTTTGTTTAGTTAGTTTAAATCTGTGACTTCTTGTTCTTGAAGTTCCTGGTCTCGGGAATACTTCTTTGTCAGTTTTGTTAATTCTCGTTACTATTTTGTACAAAGTGATTATATTACCTCTTTCTTTTCTATCTTTTAGTTTTGGCGTATTTAATGCCTCTTTCCTCTCATCGTAGCTCTTGTCTTTAATTTCCAGGAGCCGTTTAGTTGCATGTCTTTTCATCTTTTCTAGTTTGTTGATGTTCTTCTTAAGATATGGGCACCATACAACGGCTGCATATTCCAGATTTAGTCTCGCAAAGGTCGTGAACAATTTCTTTAGTATTTCACCATTCATGCATTTAAAAGCAATTCTGAAATTAGGAAGTGTAGAAATTGGAAACTCCATGCACAATGTTCTTTATGTGGTCCTCGGGTGATAGTTTTCTATCTAAACCCACCCCTAGATCTTTCTTTATCAGGATTTTTTAAAGCATACTTTGTGGGTAGTGTGTGGTCTGTTTTCTTCTTTTCCACATTTCATAATGTGGCATTTATTCACTTTAAATTCCCTTTGTCAAGTATTGCTATATACAGTACACTTATTTTGTCCAGAGGTTCTTTAAGGGCCAATCATCTAAGTTTGTTCTCTTCCCTAGACGTTAATGGTGTAAGAACTGAACCCTGTGGTACTCCACTTGTAACATATTATTCCAGTCCAATATATTAACATATTATTCCAGTCCAATATATTACTGTACCTCTGATTACTTTCCTCATTTATCTGTCAGAAAATTTTTCATCCAGGAATTTAGAAGCCTACCTGTCACTCCTCCAGTATGTTCCAGTTTCCAGAACATCTTAATTGAAATTCTGTCGAAAGCCTTTTTTAGGTTCAGATAGGTGCAGTCTATCCAACCATCTCTTTCTGTAAGAGGTTATTTCTGTGGTTCTATTGTAGAAACTAAGTAAATTCATAACACGGGATCTTCCAGATCAAAAACATTATTGTCTGTCTGTGTTGTTATATAATTTTTCTCCAGGTGTTCTACCCATTTAGTTTTAATAATTTTTTCCAACATTTAAACTACTACATTTGTCAATGATACAGGTCTATAATTGAGGGCCCTGCCCTGCTGCCACTTTTGTAGATGAGCCTCAAGAGCCCACGGTCAAATGGGCTCTGAGGTTCAAGACAAAGCAGTTGTCTTGGCCAACTACTTTGTTCTTACTTGGCTTCTTGAGTATTTTTCTGACTTTGTCTCTAAACACCTCTGTGTTGTTTTCTGGAATTCTTCTTGTGTCTGGTTCTCTGAAGATTTAATTTTGCACAAACACACTTTTGAACTGTTTGTTTAATGTTTCACGCATTTCCTTTTCATTTTCTGTGAGTCTGTTTTCCATTTTCGACCTCTGAATCTTTTACCTGCAATTTGCTTTTAGTGAATTTATAGAATAGGCCTGGTTCTGTTTTACATTTGTTCGCTATCACTTTCACAAAATTTCTTTCTGCCTTTCTTCTCACTGCCGCGTAGCTGTTTCGTTTTTCTTTGAATCGTTGGTATTTTTGAGGGTTTTGGCCTCTTCTGATATGGATTTAATTTTTTTGCCTTTTGGTCTCTGGCCATTTGGTGTGTGTGTTTTAATTTGTTTTATCATGTTCATATATATTTTTTGTGTATACAGTATTAGGTTCTTAGAGTATTTTCTCTTGCTCATTATCTACTGCGGAACTTCTTTTATATATATAAGCATTTTTAATTAATTTCATATGTAACTTTGTAGATTGCAAATCATTAAGTTTGCTTTTATTAAGGCTTTTTATGCATTTTTATCAATGTATTTCATATTATTTTATTAAACATTTAAATAGTTATGCCTTGGATTGAATTCAGCTAAAGTATTAATCAAACTGTTTAAATTCATATTTAAATCATTGCTCCCTGAACTGGGCTGCACAATATGTTCACCATTCAGAAGACTATATTCCAAAACAAGCATAATTATTTTATCTGCCTTTTCAGAGAGAATTCAGGGTGCTAAAACAGTCTGGCCCTCAAAATGTAAGTGCAAGCACTTCATCCAACATAAGAAATCATATTTATTGAATTGATTATCTTGAGACAAATTTCTTGAGTATTTTGACTAACAGGGTGAAGTGTGGCAGTGGTGGAGCAATGGTTTGACCAACCTCCAAATGATTATTATTAAAACAAAATACATAATTACTTGGTATGAATTTGTCTAAGTAAATGCTGTATATTCATTTGTTTAAATTAAATAGTGTTTTTCAGTTTGTTAGCTGGAAAGGTAATATTCATGTGGAATGGATGAGATTTTATTTTGTACTGCTATCAGATAGTATCAAGCTTTTCTTGAATAAGTTTTTCAAGTAAATTATTGAGAAATTATAGGCAAAACACACTCCTCATTCTAGGACTGTACGGCTAGTCTGTAGATTCTTGTGCTTTCATATCTTTGTGTGCCTTATTTATTTAAAAATTTAGACAAATTTCTTTATAACTTTACAACAATATTTTAATCATTCATTTCAAATTTTTTATGCATCTTAATACAATTTTCAGAGTGAACACTTCCCATTCCTGGGAGTAGGAGTCTCGGTGCAGGAAATGAGAAGTCGAACTCTATTTTATACATCTCTTGGGAGATTACTAATGGTGGAATTGGGGGAGGATGAGGAGAAATTTACACAGTTTATGATCCCTATTACTAGTAAGTCTTCACCCTAATATCCCCATTCTTATTACTCTCTTTGGAATATAAAATTTTCTTACTTAACATTTTGTAATGAATATATTTGGTATTTGTTACTCCCGTTTCCCTGTTTTGTCACAATAACAATAGAAAAATTAATGCTTTCTATCTGTAAATCCGACACCGTACTCCCTTTTAGAGCTTCCCATTAGGGGGGTTAGCTACAGCAAAAGTATTTTCCACAAGGCGTTATCACTACACAAACCTTTAATGTCTTCAAGAAATTAAACCATTTTTAACTCTGTTAAACCATTTTTCTAAATATCTTTCTGATATGGATGTTGACTTCTCTATTCGTGTACCTGTTGCTTATTGATGCTTGAAGACTTGTGTCCAATTTCGTGTAGATGTTATGCCAGTCAGAACAGTGAGTAAGTGCTCTGTGTATAAATGCATTTATTGCTCTAGTCTTATATCTGGACATTCAAAGTGACCATTTATGCACATACCAATGTTGGTGGGTTTAGTATACTAAACTTCCTCTATATATGTATGTATATATGTATGCAGAAAAACCACATGTGAAGAATTAGAAAATGCTGAATGCATTTTTGGCTCAATTTGCCTTCATCAGAGCTAGATAGTGAAGAGGGAAGCATGGTGGGCAGACTATAACTAGCTCCCAGGGAGAGACAGGTCACCTGACCCCCAAGAAATGGGAATGAAACCTTACTTTATGGAAACATGGTGATGAAAAAGACATTGGGAAGTTTTAACTAAGGATTAATTTAAAACAAATGTTCCTTTCTCATAGTGGAATTAAGGAAATTAACAAATACTGAACCCTCACTTCAGAGGGTTCGTGTCGCTTGCGGAGCGATGATCTGGCTACATTCGGACTGCTCTCCTGTGGTTCATTGTCTGAACCGCGGGGGTTCGATGTGATCCTTGGCTCTTTGGGACTGGTCGCTTCGGGTGACTTATCTGCGGAGTTCTCAAGGTTTGGCTCTCTTGGCAGTTCACGTTCAAGAGGGTATCCAACGTCCTGGCGGACGGCTTGTCTTGGTTCATTCCCCTTTCCACAGAATGGATGGTCGACGCCAGCTCATTCAGTTGGTTCTGCCGGATGTACGGGCGCCTGGAGGTGGAACTCTTCGCATTGGTGTGGTCGGGGCATCTTCCATTGTATGCGACGCCCTTTCCCGACTGTGAGGTCATTGTGAGTCAATGCCTTTCGGCTGGACTATATGAGGTGGGGTTACCTGTACCTCTTCCCACTGGTTCGGTTGTTGCTCTGGGTCCTGGCTCGCTTGGAGACTTACCAGGGAAGAGTAGTCCTTTTGGCCCCTTGGTTGCTTCAGGACTGTCATCTTATGCCAAATACTGTCTCCTCGTATCGTGCAACGCTGGTGGAGCCGCTTCAGCTTGCATTCGGTATGGATGTCACTTCTGCTCCATTCCGCAAGCTTTCTCGGGCGGGCGTTGTTTCACCTCCGGCCTGCTCAAGTCCCGCTTGAGCCGTCCTGGTCATTGGACCGGGTGCTCTCTTGTCTCTCTTTTCCTCGGTTTGTGGTAGCCCCCTCGGTTCAGGACTTTTTCTAAGGCTCTTTTTCTAAAATGTTGACATTGGCCTCTGGGGATTGGGTCTGGGTTCATGCTCTCCACCGGTGCAGGATTTTCTGATCTTTCTGTCCTCGTGGTCGTTTTGTTAGTTTGCAGCCTTCTCCTTTTTTTCTGGTGAAGAATGAGTGCTGCTTTCCAAAGGGGTCCTTGGGTTGTTGATGCTTGGTTGGTTCGACCGGGGTTGCATCATGTTTTGTGTCCTGTTGCGGCTCTTCGCTGTTATTTGGGCACCACGGCTTTCATGGCAAGGGATACGCTTTGGCTAGACCTGGTTTCCCTTCTTCCCTCTTCTAGGGCGTGGGTCTCCTGGGTCATCCGCAGGATTATTCAGTCCAGCCAGCTTGCGGTGTATCCCTGTGCCCACGATGTTTGGAAGTTTGCGGCTTTGGCTGTTGTTTTTGGTAATATGTCCTGGGCTGACATTCGGGCACAGGGCTGTTCAATAGGTTGAACAGGGTTCTGGTCGCACAGTACCTTGTTAATGTTCCTGGCCCTTCTCAAGCTTGTGTAGCCTTGGGTTGTAGGTTGCAGTCAGTTGTCTCAACTTCGAGTTGAGGAGTGAGTGGCAGCCGCCTTCTGGGTAAGTCCCTTTTTTCCTTTATCTTTAGTTAGGTAGCTCCGGGAAGCCGAAGGGGCTCTCCACAGAAAACCAGCGTTGAATGTAATGAAACGCAATTTTCTGGGTGAGACACGGAGGATCCCCGGCATCCCTACCTCCCTCCCTCCCCAAAAAAACTTTTTTGCTTTTTTGATATTCAGCCTCTGAACTGAGGTTGGGGGTAGATGGTGTGGAGATCTGGAGCCCCCTCCCCCTTCCCCCTGCCGGGTAGGGGGGAGTTGCACAAACGGCTGCGTGGCGGCTGTGGTGGTGTCATGCTCGTATGCTTGTTTTCAATTGGGGAGTTCTGCTTGATAGTTCGGCGTTTGGTTTGCAATTTTTGATCAACTGTAGTTTATTTTGGAATTCCTACCTTTCTGGGTGCCTGACCTGGTAGATAGTAGACATGGACTGCTTCCAATTTCAGTACATGGGGGGTGTCTATAGGCTATTGTTCCTCCTGCCTCTCTTGAAGGGGTCAGGTTCTGGTGCTGGTCTCCAGTAGGCCTAGAATTCCTTTGATTGACTGTTGCCACAGTCTAATATATGCACATCAGCCTGGTGTAGCTCCGGGGAGCCTCCAGGTCTCGCCTAGAAAATGGCGTTTCATTACATTCAACGCTGGTTTTTTCACCTCCGACCTGCTTATGCGCCGCCCGATCTTTTTGGTCTTTGGATTGGGTACTTTCATATCTCTCCTCTCCTCTCCTCTCCTTGGTTTGTTGTGGCCCCTGTGGTCTGGGATTGTTTTCTGAAAGCCTTGTTCTTGTTGGTTTTAGCCTTTGAGGCTCAGGTGGGGGAGCTTCATACTCTTCTCAGGCACAGGGGTTTCTGCTCTTTTGGTCTTGGGGGTAGTTTTGTTCATTTGCAGCCATCTCTTTCTTTTCTAGTGAATAAAATGGCTGGTTTCCGGAGGGGTCCTTGGGCTGTTGATTCTTGGTTGGTTAGGCCGGAGCTACATCATGTTTTGTGTTTGGTTGCGGCTTTGTCGCTACCTGCACACCACTTGTTCAGCGACTGTACTCACCTAGAGGGGCCTCGTAGCCTGGTGGATAGCGCGCAGGACTCGTAATTCTGTGGCGCGGGTTCGATTCCCGCACGAGGCAGAAACAAATGGGCAAAGTTTCTTTCACCCTGAATGCCCCTGTTACCTAGCAGTAAATAGATACCTGGGAGTTAGTCAGCTGTCACGGGCTGCTTCCTGGGGGTGGAGGCCTGGTCGAGGACCGGGCCGCGGGGACACTAAAAGCCCCGAAATCATCTCAAGATAACCTCAAGATAACCTAGTGAGTACAGGCCTGGTCGAGGAGGTTGAGCTGATGCTTGAGGGGGTTGAGCTTTGGCTCTTTGGTTCCGCCTTTCAACTGTCAATCAACTGGTGTGGATGTGCTCTGGGTGGATCCGGTTTCCCTGGTTCCCTGTTCCAGGGCCTGTATCTCTCAGGTTGTCCGCAGGGTTATCAAGTCTAGCCAGCATGTGCTTCTACCCTCATGCCAATGATGTGAGGAAATATGCTGCTCTCGCTGCTGTGTTTGGGAATATGTCTTGGGTCAATATTCAGGCGCAGGGGTTTTGGAAATGTAACAGGGTCCTGGCCTGGTTCTTGTCAATGTTCCGGGGCCCTCTCAGTCCTTGTGTTGCTTTGGGACATTTGTTGTGGCCTGTTGTCTGTAAATTGTATTGAGACTTGCGGTGCTGCCTCCTCCCGGGTAAGTTCGTGTGTTTATCTGTGCGTATGTAGCTTCAGGGATCCAACAGGGCTTCCAATAAAAAACCATCGTTGAATGTAATGAAATTCCATTTTCTGGGCAAGCCTCGGAGGCTTCCTTACGCCCTCCCTCCCTCCTTTAGGTCAGTGGTTTTTATCATTCTACGAACTGAGGGGTGGAGTGGCTGGCTCGCTTGAGCAGGCTAACGAGGGGAGAGCGCTAACGAGCGCGCTAGTTGGATGACTATTTGTTTGTTTCGTTGTTTTCTTTTTGGGTGGGGGGGAGAATTCTTTGGCTCTGTTCAGACATAAGTTGCAATTTTAACTAGTTTGTGGTTTGTATGGTTTCGCCTACTTTTCTGTTGGCATCCCCGGTCGATGGCAGACATGACATACACTAAATGTAGAGTGCTCATATGGCCATTGCTCCCCGCGCCTCTCTGAGGTGGCTGGCTACCAGGGAGTTCTAGTCCCTGGTAGGCACTAGAACTCCCATGACTGATGACACCAAACTAATATGGCACATGTCAGTTTGGATAGCCCCCAGAAAATGGCATTTCATTACATTCAATGTTGGTTTTTTATTGTTTACATTTTTGTGGGAGTTCGTTTGGCTCTTTTAAGGCTACGGTCTGGTTTATCCAAGCAGTTGTTTGTTTTGTTTGGCTGACTTTCTGGATGTCTTTCTTTGGTGGTGCCAGACATGAATAAATTTACAAATAAATTTTTTTCATAAGGCCACTGCTTCTTGCACTTCTCGGGAGTCGGGTTCAGGCTCATGATCCCTGGTATGCCAATAAAAACTCCGCAACTGATGGCACTTAGTAGTTCAGTACTATACTGTATTAGTATGGTAGCTTCAGGGAGCCACTGGGACCCGCCCAGAAATTCTCATTTCATTACGTTCTATGCTGGTTTATTTACATTTAACATATATGAAGTGTTGCTTTGAAGACATGAATAAATAAATTTAGATAAACAAATACCTGATTAGCATATATATTTGTTGTTTGGTCAGCCTATGATTTTCTGTGGCATTTTAACTGAGTTTACATGAGTGAATATATACACTATTGAACATATACAATATATAGATGATAATATATATACATGATAATATATATACATGATAATATATATACATGATAATATATATACATGATAATATATACATAATAATATATACATGAATATATACATATATACACAGTGAGTGTGTGGAGAATGGTTTACATCTCAGTGTATATCAAATATCCTAAAACCAAAATTACATTTTCAAGAAAATCCTACTGATTTTCTTATTGCCGATTATTATACGAATTTTATTATAGTAAACATTGATATAATTTACTCATGCAAGTGCTCGAGTGATAATTTGGATCAAGTAACTTGCTTCTTGAATTACCTTTGCTACTGTGTTTTTCCTTCTATAATTTTTCTTGCTGTATAGTTAACATTTACTAACTGACATTTGCCTGTGGCAGTTAGTAAATGCAATTTTTATTGTATTTACTAATAAGAATTGTCATTTTTATTCTTCAGAATACAAGAAATTTGTTTTCTCTGCAGGTGCATTTGACAGTGTAGGTCGACTTCTAGCTCAAGCAGAAACGCCAATGTTCCAGGCAGAAGAGGCCAAAAAAGGATTAATAGGTCTTGCAAGGGATTTACGTGGATTAGCATATGCATTTAACACAAAGACATCCTACATGATGCTGTTTGACTGGATGTATCCTTTAAAAGAATCAACAAGAAGAAGTTTATTATATATATCCCCAGTACGGAGGCACTTTATGACTTAGTTTTATTTGTTTGCTTTTGCTCATTAATTTCTTTTCAGTATCAGAACACCTTGTAATAATTTAAAACTTTAACATTAACCCCTAAGTTGCCGTGGGCTATTTGGCCTTCAGCACCCACAGGCGCAACAACAACAAAATATATATATTTTGTCCTATGAAAGTGTTCATTTGTGTTCCCTGATCACAGGAAAATAATAAAAAAATCGTAGGTGGCATATTTTGGCCGCAATAGGGCGAGGAAGTATGGCTAAAAAGAGGCGTTGACAGAGCAATAATCGGTGGCGGTGTGCTCCGCCCGAGCTGTCAGGCGGGTGATGCCACAAAGATATTATTACCTAATTATTTCAGTGTCTCTGATTGATTTTTTTCTAATATTTTTTTTTGCAGTAATATTATTCAATGGTGTGTAGTGTGACATACTGTATTTATATAATAAAATGTGTGAATCATTGCTATACTCAAAAGTATTGTGATCATATTAGTGATTCAATTATTATGTTCATAAAACAATAAACAAATAGTTTTGCTGTTATTACACTATATACACAGGTTACATAGGTATACAGAAATACACAGGTTATTACACTATATACACAGGTTACATAGGTATACAGAAATACACAGGTTATTACACTATATACACAGGTTACATAGGTATACAGAAATACACAGGTTATTACACTATATACACAGGTTACATAGGTATACAGAAATACACAGGTTATTACACTATATACACAGGTTACATAGGTATACAGAAATACACAGGTTATTACACTATATACACAGGTTACATAGGTATACAGAAATACACAGGTTATTACACTATATACACACACAACTGATGCTCCCTTCCTCCCTCACTGGTTCAAGGCCAGATGCACTAACATTCCTCCTTCAAGTATACTGTTTGTGGTGTTATATATAATGTGTGTGTATATAGTGTAATAAGTATCTACATGTTTTGTTCACCATAACTGTTCAACTAAGCTGGTATAGGGACCAAAGAGCATAGTGGTCACCCAAACACAGCATGACAAGTCATGCAGATGTCGCCACCTCCTTCACCAAAATGGCTTCTCCCAACATGCTCCTTTTGCTGTTATTACTTTATATATACACGTTTGAAATTTTAGCTTGAAATTGTCCCCCCTTTGTTCGTGAAGTTGCTGGTTTCAGGAATTCGTCTTTGTCAATTAAGTCAATTCCTGTTATTATTTTGTAAGTTGTGATCATATCACCTCTCTTTCTTCTGTCTTCTAGTTTCTCAGTTCCGAAAGCCATTTTGTAGCATGCCGTTGCACCTTTTCCAGTTTTCTTATATGCTTCTTGAGATTTGGCTACCATACAACTGCTGCATATTCTAATTTTGGTCTCGCAAAAGTCACGAACAGTTCCTTTAGTATTTCACCATCCATATAATTTAAAGCAAATCTGAAGTTGGTAAGCGACGCATACGCTTCCCTCACAATGTTCTTTGTGTTACACACAGAAATTACAATAGTGTGATGCATCAAATGAACAAATCCACAAAGGCCGTGATGAGGGTTCGAACCTAAGTTCGAGAGGCTTCCAAACACACTTTAATCGACTGTGCCACAACATGGTAAAAGAATTGCATCCGGGAGTGCTACTGCCCCTCACACAAATCCTGCAGTCTCTGAAACAAACTCGGACTTGTGGATTTATTCTGTGTGTTCCTCTGGCAACCTCTTAGTATCCAAAACCACCCCTATGTCTCGTTCTTTATTATAGTTCTGTAATTCCTTTCCACATAATTTGTAAGTTGTGTTTGGTGTATTTTCTCTTGATTCCACATTCCATAACATGGCATTAATCACTTTGAATTCCATTTGCCACTTGACACTCCCAGCACTTATTTGATCTAGATTGATTGAATGCCATTACAATTGTCTGAGTCTCCTATCATCCCCAGTATCTTAGCATCACCTGCAAACATGTTCATATAATTCTGTATTCCTTCTGGTAGATCGTTTATGTAGATGTCGAGCATTACTGGTTTAAGAACTGAACCCTATGATACTCCACTAGTAACACTCCTCCAGTCAGATACATTGTCTCTGATTATCGCCCTCATCTGTCTGTCAGTTAGAAAGATGTGGAGCTATGTGGCCGCTTCAAGCAACAGCCTAGTGGACCAAGCTCTCACTAGTCGCCAGGCTTGGGGAGTAGAACTCCCAGAACCCCATCAAGCAGATAGCTACTGAGACTCCAAGGCCTACCATAAAGAGACATACTTAACACTTAACATTACATTTCATTACATTCTATTTTTTTTTTTTTTTTAAATTTCCAATGAGAAAATAATGCTCTTTTGTATTTACCATTGATCTTTATAGCACTCAATGGTGATTGAGTCTTGAACAGTAGTTAATTATTCTTGGTGGATTTTAGATGTGCCTCATAAAATTATTCTCTCATATATCACCATCTGATATATATGATATATATATCACAGGTGACACATATATCTGTGTCTGTTAAGCCCAAACTACTTTGAAAAAGGGCAGGTGTTGGTGTGAACTTTTCAGGACGTTGAAACTATTCTTTCTGTTCACTATTACAACTCGCTTATTATAGTTAATATATTTTTGGTGTGAGTTGTATATAATTGTATATACAGTAATGTATTTTATCAAATGTTTTAAATCAAGATATTAAAATTGTTCAACAATAACTTAAGTGAATGATGAAAAATGAATAATGTGCGTTGTAGTGCTACCAAAATTCATATAGAACTTATATGAACTTATATGTAGATATAAGTTCAAACCTTGAACCCTGAACCTATATGAACTTATATGTTCAGGGTTCAAGGTTTGAACTTGTAGGTTCAAGGTTTGAACTTATAGGTTCAAGGTCTGAACTTATAGGTTCAGGGTTCAAGGTCTGAACTTATAGGTTCAGGGTTCAAGGTCTGAACTTATAGGTTCAGGGTTCAAGGTCTGAACTTATAGGTTCAGGGTTCAAAGTTTGCACTTTAGAGGTTCAAGGTTATAGGTTTATAATCTTTCCCTTCCCCTCCATGCTGTCTTATTCCCTTCTCTAAGTTTTAATATAATTATTAAAGGCTCCTTGACTAGCTTATAGATACCCAACATATACTGGCGTCCTAGTGAGAGGGGTGGAAATTTGGAGTCATGACCCTCAGGTCACCACGCCCGTTCTCAAACTTTTTGCCGAGTTGGTACAGAATAGATCTCAGAGACTTCAGTTTGATGTCTCGTCACCCAATGGTATCCTGCTTTTCCGAGAGGCCAGCAAAGTCATCTGTACATATGGTAAGCTATCTAAAATATAATGTATGGAATATTTTGTTACAAAGCTTATAAAGTATATTCTCTCTCTTTTTTTATTATTATTATTACTGTATTATTATTACATTTTCTGTTGAGAGCCCCTTCGGCTCCACGGAGCTATATTGGGCTGATGTGTCGTATATATTAGACAGTGGCAACAGTCAATCGATGGAGTTCTAAGCTTACTGGGGACCAGTGCCAGAACCTGGCCCCCTCAGATGAGGCATGAAGAGCAAACGGCCTATAGACACCCCCCCATGTAATTGGAAACAGTCTGTCTGCCATCTACTAGGTCAGGCACCCAGAAAGATAGGAATTCCAAAACAAACTACAGCTGGTTAAAAATTGCAAACCTAAAGCCGAGCTAGCAAACAGAACTATTTAATTGTAAACAAGCATGATGTCACCACTGTCGCCGCACCGCTGTCTGTGCAACTACCCCCTCCCAGGGAGGGGGAAAGGGGGGGGGGGTCCCAGACCTCCTGCACCAGTTAGCCAACCCCAGTTCACAGGCTGTTGTGTTGGTGGCGGTTGATAGACTCTGGCTCCATCCTTTTGAGCAGTGCTGCATAGCAGCGGTGTTCTACTGTATGGTGCTGTGCAAGCCAGGAGTAAACAAGAGTACTGGGGCTGTATGCACCTAGGGCCACCTTCCCTAGGTGCCCTGTAAGTACTGCCTTTGCAGTTTAGGGTTATCTTCCATAGGCCGCTCAGGAGGCTACCTCCGTGTGGTTCTCGTCGCTTGTGGGGGCGCAAGGTACTGTGCAGCTGTCTGATATACGCATAGCGACCGGTTCTGTTCCCTGGAGACATTATGCTTTTGTGGGGAGTTTCTTTTGCTTTGTTTTGCTTGGTGGGTGTCAGCCTGGTGTGGCTGTAGAACCCCTTGTATGACTTTTGGTGGCCCTCCGCTAGGTTCCTGTGATTGTACACATTGCAGGGGTTCAACTTTTAGTTTGTTTGCTTGTTAGATCTGGAATAACCAGTTAGCAGTGCCTTGCCTGGGCTGGCTGCAACCTGCGACCCAAAAGTTGCGACCCTTTTTCGTCTTCCCACAGAAAATCAGTGTTCCAGGGCTCGGGTCTCTCTGGTTGTCTGCAGGGTTATTAAGTCTAACCGGCCTGCGGTCTGTGCTCGTGCCCATGATGTTAGGAAGTTTGCTACATTGGCTGCCATGTTTGGCAACATGTCCTGGGCTGATATTCGGGCGCAGGGATTTTGAAGGTCAAACAGGGTCCTGGCCGCCCGTTTTTTGGTTAATGTTCCTGCTCCTGGACGTTCCTGTGTTGCTTTGGGTTGCAGGTTGCAGCCAGTTGTCTCAACTTCACGTTAAGGAGTGTGTGGTGGCCACCTACCTAGTAGGTCCTTCTTTTCCTTTGGGTATGTAGCTCCAGTGTGCCGTAGGGGCTTCCTACAGAAAACTAGCGTTGAATGTAATGAAACGCCATTTTCTGGGTGAGCCCCCGGAGGCTCCCTGGCAACCCTCCCTCCCTCTGGTTGGATGCTTTTCGCATGTTTTGATACTTGGCTTCTGAACTGGAGTGCTAGGTAGCTGGCGTGGGAAGGGAAGGGCTGCGTGGGGTACATCATTTTTGTGTCTGGTTGCGGCCCTCTGCCGTTACTTGCGTGCCTCGGCCTTTGTGTCCGGGAACGTGCTTTGGGTTGCTCTGGTTTCTCTTCTTCCCTGTTCGTGGGTGCGGATCTCTCAGGTCGTCCACAGGGTTGTTACGGCTAGCCAGCCTGTGGTCTATCCCTTTGCCCATGATGTTTCAAAATTCGCTGTTCATGCTGTGGTTTTTTGCACCGTGTCCTTTGCTGCAGTTCGGGGGCGGCGATTTTGGCGGTCGAACAGGGTCCTGGCTGCTCGATATCTCGTGAATGTTTCTGGGCCCAGTCTGGCCCGTGTCACTTTGGGTCGGCGGTTGCATCCAGTTGCCTCGACTTCGTGTTGGGAAGTGTGCAGCGACCGCCTCCCGGATCAGTCCCTTTCCTTTTCCTTTGTGGGTAGTTAGCTCCGGGGAGCCATAGGGGCTTCCCCCAGAAAACCAGCGTTGAATGTAATGAAATGCCATTTTCTGGGTGAGACCCGGAGGCTCCCTAGCATCCCTCCCTCCCTCCGGTTGGCAGGGTTTTCACGTGTTTTGACATCCAGCCTCAGAACTAAAAGGTGGATAGCCGGGTGGGGGTCTGGAGCTTCCCCTTCCTCCTCCCGAGGAGGGGGGAGCTGCGCAGACAGTGGCGCGGTGATGTGTGACGTCATGCTCATTTGCTTGTTTCTTTTTGGGGAGTTCTATCCACTTGTTAGGCTTTTGGTAGCAATTGTCACCAGTATAGGGGTTTGTTTTGGGACGCTTACTTTTCTGGGTGCCTGACCCAGTCGATGGCAGACATAGTGCGCTTCCAACCACACGGTGGTTTCTATAGGCCATTGCTCCCTTGCCTCTGAGGAGGCCAGGTTCTGGCTCGTGGTCCCCGGTAGACCCACAGAGCTCCATACACATGACTGATGCCAAAGTCTGACATTAGCATATCAGCCTGGATAAGCTGCGGGGAGCCTCCGGGTCTCACCCAGAAAATGGCGTTTCATTACATTCAACGCTGTTTTTTTTTTAAGTTTTTATATTAGAGAGAAAATGTCAGTGTATGAATGGTGTGGAATTGGAGATAAAACATTAGTTTTTTCCTCATTTCAGGTTCAAGAATTTTGGCCCAAGGAGACAACATTCCAAAGGATCAAATATACCCTATGAGACTGAAGGGCATCAGTATCTGTTTCTCTATGCTCAAGGCAGCCTTATGTGGCAACTATGTCAACTTTGGAGTCTTTCGCCTATATGGTGATGATGCCTTGGACTCTGCATTACACACTTTTGTTAAACTGCTGCTGTCAATTCCTCAGTCTGATCTCTTGGTTAGTAGTTTTTTGTGTGTGTAATTTTGGGAAACATAGAAATAAATAAAGAAGTTGTCTTAACTTAGCTGTTTAAAAATTACTTGTATTAAATCAATGAAACCTTTTAGCACTGAAACATTGTCAAGATTAAGAGGAGTGTATATTAGCTAGCAAACTGGCAGCAGTCAGTTTGTATACACATAATATATCTTGCTTACCAAAGAGCTGAAGCTCAACCCTCAGAAACACAGTTAGGCGAGTACCTTGAGTTAAACAAAATTAATTATTGACAGTTTTGTTCATGTTTGAGGCTCTGAATCTGTCCTAGTTTTATAAGATCATTTACCATGGCCATTAATTTTGTTGTATTTTATTATATAATGCCCTGGGAGTTGAGGTCAGTTTATTTTTGCAATATCTTGATTGAAAAGAACAATTGATTATGGATCCTCTAGGTTCATCTATATATATATATATATATATATATATATCTGTTATCTCAGGCTGAGCTGGGCCTCTCAGTGGCTTCTTGGTACTATAAGCTCTAGAAGGACAGATTCCAAATCTGCACACACAAATAACACCACATGAAACCAGAAGGCATGGCAGGATGTGCAAAATAACCCCATTGAATAGCAGAAGTGCATAAGGCAACATCTAAGGCCCTAGAGTTTTCAATACCCTTCCCCTGCACATATTGGGTATACTGTCTGACCATTTGCAGTGTTCAAAAGAGAATTTGATAAACACCTTCAAAGGATGTCTGATCAATCAGGTGTTGACTCTCGTGTCAGGTTACGAGCCACAGTCTGGCTGAACACCACTAACTAGGAGACCTGGTCAGAGACCAGGCCTTAGGATCATTGATCCTCAGAATCATCAACAGGCATATCTCAGACACCCACAATGCTACCAGGCCTACCAAACATACCTTGGCAAAGGGAGCAAAACTAAATGAAACTACACAGAAAGTCACAGGCAAAGCTAAACAAACTACTGCTCTTAATAAAGAATTTAAATTAAGAAACAAGGCAAACAGTTAGCAACTGATAAATGACCCTTACCCTAACTAACCATCTTGCCACCTGGTAGCAGCCCACAACTCCTGGGGGCCTGGGTCTGCCTCCACCCTCACTTGCAAGCATGATGCTCCCTGATTGAACATCGTCCATTGACACAGAAGATGTACACTGAACCTTTCAAATAGTGAGGGCGGGGTCGACGGGTCTACTCAAATGGACCACAAAACATCCTGGGGATTTCCAGGATGCCAATTTCAAGCCCAAAAACTTGAGCTAAGCGGGAAGCCCAGGCACTGAGACGCGACGCTGGTGCTCTCAACTAAATTAATGCAGCCCAGACCACTCGGCTAGGAAAACCCACCTCTGCACATTGTAGTGCAGCTGCAAATATTCAGTGATGCCTCACCAGCCTAAGACACTCCAAACCTGGAAAACGACGTTGAGGTGAAAACTCCAGATTCACCCCGAGGCAAAAACTACCACGAGCGAGACAGATCTCCTTAGGAACGTCCCTGAACACTTCTGAAAAAAGAACCCTGGCAGAGCAAGGGAAACACTAGGGAGTGCACATGGAAGAGAGCCCTGAACACATGCAGCTCCAAGTGCACAAAACACACTGAAAGTGGAAGGAACTGCCACCAAGGCAAAAGAAATAATAATAAAAAACTTTGGGGCCAGAACAATTACAGCAGCCCAACACATCAGAGGAGAACTAAGGGTGGAGCAGCTAGATCTTTATAGGCCTTTGGGTTGTCAACATCACTATCACATTCCTCTTGAAACAGTATGTCCTGAATTTCATCTTCAGACAGTTGTTTTTCAATCGTGTGACCCACAGGAGAATGGGAGCTGGAAGCATGTGCGTCGGCCATGGCTGCTCACACAAAACCGGGCTTACCCACGGCCATGGATCATGATGTGATTTTTTTACAAAATGGCCAATGTTTACTGGAGGCCTTAGGCCTCCATCTTGTACCCAACGTACTGCACACAAGTTTTGAATCTTACGATATACTAACATTCATGGTATATAGGTTGGTGCACCACCATTCCCCATGATATCATGGGTAGCACAGCACACTGGTTAATAACTTGACCTGTCAGGGAGGGGGGGGGCATTATCAGTAGCTAGGTGCATGGCTTCTTGGCATCGTGCAGTTGATGCTAATCGATGAACTGCCCAGTGACTGAGTAGATTGTTTCAGGGTTTCAAATTTCTGTTTTGTTTACCATGCTTTTGTCTGTTTAGTCTCACTGTATCTTTCTGGTGGCCTTTTCTTGGCCTGAGTGATCTGATATCTTCAGGCTCCCCACTCCTTTAAAGTGGGGCCAGGTTTTAGTCTCTGTTCCTCAGTAGGTTGACAGTGACTTGTAAGGGCCTGGTGTGATTTGAATTGAGTTGAGAAATTCAGTTTGCTAACCACAGGAAGCCTCAAATAACATACCAGAAAGAGGCATTCCATTATGTTCATTGTTTTTTTTTAATGCTTAGGCAGTGGCTATAAAAACCCAGACAAACGTTTAGATCATCATATGACATTGGCCGCTTTTTCCTAGTAACATTCATGATGATAACCACATTCGTGCAATGAAATTATAACATGATTTTTGTTATAAATCACTGGCTACTCACACCTCAGTTTGTAGGTTGATGCGCTCTGGGGCAATCGTCAACTCTGGCCTCAATTTCTTGGCAGATTTTGTGCTTTCGTGGTGTTTCCTGCTCTTTGTGGTGTGGTGGCCAGGAGTAACTACAGTGTACTGGGGCTGCATGCACTTAGGGCTACCTTTCCTAGACAATGTAAATACTACCCTCTTGGGTTCTAAGGTTCCCTTCCATAGGCTCCCTTCCTCCGGTCGACGGTTTTTGTTTTTGATGCTCAGTCTCCAAACTGAGGTGTGAGTAGCCGGCACAGAGGGATCCGGGGCTCCCCCGCTCCCCCTCCCGGGTATGAGAGGGCTGCGCGGACAAGTGCCGTGGCAGCAGTGTATGACGTTTGCTCCTTGCTTGTTTCTTTAGGTTTTGGGGAGTTCTGCCTCTCTGTTCAGTCTTCGGTTGAAATTTCTTTCCAAGTGGGGTTTGTTTTGTTATGCCTACCTTTCTGGGTGCATAGCCCCAGTCGATGGCAGACATGGAATGCTCCAAAACTCATGGGGGTTTCCATAGGCCATTGCTCCCTGTATCTCTCTGAGGTGGCCAAGTTCTGGCTCGTGGTCCCTGGTAGGCTGAACTCCTTTGACTGATGCCACAGACTAATATAGTGTATATCGGTGCGATAGCTCCAGGGAGCCAGAGGGGCTCGTGCAGAAAATGGCGTTTCATTACATTCAATGGTGGGTTTTCATGGGTCAAGATAAATTACATTGCATTCGCATAGACATATTATATCCATATTTGCATCATAAATGTAAAATCCAGACAGTAATTATTTAAATCTTCATATAATGTTAACTTCATTACCCTTTGAATCAACAATTGATGATGTCTGCTGCCTAAGAAGGGTTAATACATGGGTGAACATGTGGTATTGTGAACATAATGATTGCATCACTTTTGGGATTAATATAGATTAAATTTTCTTTTAGTCTAGTTACAGGAAGTAAATGAGATAATATTTATTTTCTTCTAGTAAAAGGCTATAATAATTTCAATTAGATACCTGTACTTCAAAATATGATATACAGTATTCAATTTAAAATTAATTTCTATGAATTATATATAACTCTTCTTACATGGAAGTAAAATGTATAGCTTGAGTTTACAGTTCTTAATAAATGTTATATTTATCAATTTTTTCATTCATATTACATTTCTCTTGACCACAGGTATACCCAAAGCTGTCTCAGACATATTATGTGCTATTGGAATGTCTTGCTCAAGACCACATGAATTTCTTATCCACCTTAGAACCCAATGTTTTCCTGTATGTCCTCTCATCTATATCTGAAGGACTCTCTGCTATAGGTAAGTTATTTATGCTCAGGTTTTTGACTTCATCTGGCTGGGATACATCTAGTGGGGTAGGCATAACCATGTCTTTAGCAAGGATAGTGGATGGGTCATTTAATCGTTTCAGAAACAGATGGTAAAATCTTAAGCAGCTAAAGATTTTACATTTTCACAAGTGCTTGTGAAAATTTACCTGTTATGCATAAGCAGTTGTAAGTTTTTGAAATAGTGGTTAGTTTACTGAGAATAAGGATTTATGAGGAAGATGAGGGATTGTGTGATTGACAAAGTCTTCAAGTCCAAGAAAGGTTATTGAGGTAATTAAAAACATCCCAAAAGGATAGAGTAGCTTAAGCTATTTCTACCCTTAGAGTATTGTATGTGTAATAGGTTACAGGGAAAGTAAAAGTGAAAAAGTAAATGCCCTATGATGAAATGCTGAGCACCCTCTACCACTCACCTCACTAGGAACACTGACAGATTCAAACACTTGGCTGGGTGGGACAGTTGGGGCAGTGTTCCTTTAATGTTCACCCCTTGTGTTTCCAGCAGCAATTGGAAACCCAGATATAACATTACTGGCAGATTGTGTTCTTGGGGAAAGATGGCATCGAAGAACATAACAGTACCTGGCCTAAAAGCCTAAATCCCAACTTAAAAAGACTGCAAGTGGAGAGATCAGAGTTTAGAGTACATGTATTATGGAATTTTTTTGTTTCATTATGATAAAATCTACATAAATAGAAGAAAGTTATATATTTTTATTTAAGTCTTGCTTGAGTTGTGCTTTAACTTTTCTCTTGCACTGTGCAATTTGCTTTAAGCCTTAAGATGAGTGGTGCACTGAGTACCGTGTAGCACACAAATTACAATAGCGTGATGCATCAAATGAACAAATCCACAAGGACTGTGATGAAGGTTCGAACCCCAGGTTGCAATTCTTTTAACTATGTCATGGCGCAGTCGACTAAGGAACGTCTGGGATCATCCTGGACGTAGGTTCGAACCCTCATCATGGCCCTTGTGGATTTGTTTGCAATGTAGCATTTCTTCGTATATCTTAAGATGCAAAACTTACATGCAATACTCTAGAGTAACAAATGGAGGCTTGAAGCCTCCAGTGATATTCCACCATCTTGAAAAAAATTCCCAGCATGCCCCATGGGCACAGGTAGGCTCAATTTCAAATGAGTCACCATGGCTGATGTATATGCTTCCAGCTCCCTGTCAATGATGAGTTGTATGGTTGAAAAATCACTCTCGGAGAATGAAATATGTGACGTGTTGAGAGGACCCAAAACACAACAAGGATCTAACCCAACAATTGGATACAAGGGATACAGATAATGATGAGTACAATACAATGAGTATGTACAATATGTCGATCTCACCACACCAACTGTTGCACTGTCTTAGATCAACACCATTCCCACAGTGTTTGTTATTACCACTTCCTGTGCCTTCTGCAATACCTGTATGCCATGATAATGTGGAAGATCATTTTTATGGGTTCAGTGACATTGGTTCTGACACTAGTAGCATAGGTGAACCTAGTGTTAGCGGCCCTAGTGGTGGTGGTACTGGGTGCCAGTTTGCTGTCGACAAGGTTTCTCTGCAGCTTGCCCTGTATAGTGCCGGTGTGTGTCCAGTCATGGGGACAATGTTGACAGTGTGGCCTCCACCTCGTTGTGCATGTTTGTGGTGGTCCTATACAACATGGAAGTGCTTTATGTCCTGGCCAACAGTGTGATAATATAAGAAGACAAAGCTGTGGTGGTGGCCGTGGTGCTTCTGCCACCAGAAGCAGCACGAAAGTACTTTTGTGGGAGGATTGTGAGAGTTTTATACCCGATATACCTAGTTTGATGATACGGTTGTTGGTCTTAGACATTTTCAATTATACTGGTGACAATGTGAGCGAAAGTGCTTTATTGCAAATTTTTGAGCTGTTAATGAAACATCTTGTTGAGGAATCCAGCTGATATCTAGTGCAACTGACTTATTACTAGCTTCACGTTTGACATGTTCAAAAGGGAGGACTGTACCTGAAGTGTGTGGTTTTGTTACACTCTGTATGGTGATGAAACACTCAGAAAAGCATGTCATACAGGATTATTGGAACAAAGACAGCATTGTTCAAGCCCAGTTTTCGGGAAGTACATGTTTTGTGAAAGTTTCTTGCTATTTCTAAGGTGCCTATGCTTTCAGAACAGTGATAATGTTGTTCAAAACAATACACACTGGAATGTGTTCAGTAAAGTGAGAGGAAAGTTCAGAGATTTCTTTGTACCAGGGCAAAATGTAGTGATTGATAAATCTCTAGTTATTTTCAATGAATGCCTTGCTTTCAAGCAGTATATATCCCATTGAAACAACACAGGTTTGGACTGAAATTCTTCATGCTCTGTGATTGTGAAACTGGAGTAGTGATAGATATTATATCCCGGCACTGACGTAAATATACCCCGTCACAATCCTCACAGATTTTCTGGCACGTGTGAAAGCGAGTGCCAAAAGTGCGTGAAGAGGTGCGTGCATGCGAGCCTCTCCTTGCCTCTGCAGGTCTCCTTGCTAGCGTCCAATCTTCTAATGTGGATTTATCAATTATTTGTGTTGTTTGTCATATCTCTGGTGGTGATCTGGTTGTGTGTGTAGACTATATATTCCCTAATAGGGCCTTGGTGTTTGTGCATTGTCAGGCGCCTTGAAAGAGATGTTGGTGTCTTGCCTATATATACCGAGATCATTAGGGCTGACAGTTCCAAAGTGGGCATGTGAAGGCATAGATGACATTCATGTCTTTCAATGCATTTTGTTTGGTCATGCTTAAGAGGAAGAAGACTGCCAACATGTTCATGAAAAACTCTCCTGACACCAAACAAAACACCTTGATACTAACTTCTGGTAGGCACTTGTAAACCTTAGGGCCTGGTGTGATAACCTAGGTGGGTGGCATGAGGAGCCTCCATGAGGGGCTCCTCCCAGAAAAATACCTTTCATGCACTGTATTATAATGATAAAATCATATTATATAAGATGTCATAAGGATGGGGGCCACCCCAGAGCTGGCAAAGTTACACTTCCAGTGAAAAAAACCCACCTCGACTTTGAAACTTCCAAATGCAATGGTGTCACGATTAAAAAGGGGGCAGACCAGACATAAGAGTGAACCACACCCCCATGGGTAGGGGTTGGGGAGATCAAACAGAGCCCAGACAGAGTAAACAAACACCCCATCTCGGAAACAACTTGGCCATCGCTTGGGCATCCACATGACCACCACACCACTAACTCGAAAACAGAGAAACCAAACCTGGAAAGTGGCCGCTGCCCAATAGGCCTCAAAAAGGAGGAGGCAGAAAGAGAATGGAGACCAATAGTACACAAAGCACAGGAATTCGAGCCATAAGTGTTAGGTGTTATAGAGCTTACAGGTAGTAAGGCACACATACACTTACTGACCACTGACCAGTAACAGTTGGTCCCCCTACAGCGCCCTGTAGATGAGATGATGAGCCCCCTACAAAACTCGCACTTAGCGGTTGCTGACTCTACAGATAATCAAACTGAGCCGTGTTATCGACACTTTGGGGAGTAATAACAGAATCTGAAAGTAACTAGCCAAGCATAGAGGATACTCAACAGAAAAAAAAAGACACCGAACAGTTTTATTTTATCTGATGCCACTGTTCACCTAGCAGTAAATAGATACCTGGAAGTTATACAGCTGTTGTGGGGTTGCATCCTGGGGATGGCCATTAGTTGGCCTAGTAGATAAGATAAGAGAAAATGTCAGGAGTTATTACATTAGACAACCGGTGATTGATAAAGTGAGGTCCAAGAGCTTAAAGCTCAATCCTGCAGGCAGAAGTAGGTGAAGACACAGAGCTATGAGGAGAGGCTTGAGGTATTAAATATGTCTAACTAGAAGATAGAAGGAAAAGTGGCAATATGATCGCCAAGTACCAGTACAAAAGAATGGCAGGAATCACCACACCTAACAAGAAGGAATTTTTAAACCTGCAACTTGGAAGAACAAGAGGAAATAGATTCCAGCTAAGGAAACAAAAGTGACAAAAAATATACCAAACTTTACTTTTGTGAACAGAAATGTGGATGGTTGGAACAATTAAAGTGAGGAGGAGGGTGGATGTTACAACCATCAGCTGTTTCAGAGTGTCGTATGACAGATATTTTAGAAGATAGGACACCAGGAATGTAGCTCTCATCTTGTAACTATACTTAGATAATTACACTCAGGTATTTGCACACCCACTACATTCACACACATATGTACATATATTATTTATACATATTCACACACATTCATGAGTACATACATTTGTATAATTTTATTTTACAAAGACGACTATTTTATAAACGGGCTTAGAGTTTGATTATTTGCCTTTTTTGGCCAGACTCCACTGTTGCAGGGAAAGCACCACCTACAATTCAGTACATGAACCCTTCAGCGGAACGTGAGTGTCAGTAGAAGACTGAGGCAAGACAAAGATTGGCCTTGTATTAGTAAAGAACCGTAGTTGGTATAAAGTTTGTTGTAATGCCTCTAAGCTAGATTATGACGAGAGTTTGCCACACGTTTGACCAGCTTCTCCAGTATGTTAGGTTGCCATCTTGCTAGTAGTCTCCAGCCAGTGTTGTAGCTCATGAAGAGTATGCCATGTGCTCACTCTTGTCTGGGATCTGTAAAATGAGGAAATTCAGATTTTGGTTGAAGTATTAAAAGGTTTAATTTAAATTTAGTTTTTGCTTAAAGTATCAACATATAATTGCACTAATTTGCAACCGTAAATAGATAAATCCTCAATATGTTTTAAATTGCCATGTCTTCCCTGTAGGTGAAAATATACATTTGTGGTTAGAGTCACTTATTAATTATGTACAGGAATAAAAATTTTGTTTTTAACCTTGAAATATTTTTCAGTACCTATACTTAGAAATTTATGAATTTTAAGAAACCCATATGTTTAACTGAGGTAAATAGAATCTAGCACAGAAAGTCATGGAAAATAAAGTACTTGGAGAAAAGTAGAGTAATTAGGCACGTTAGGATATCTTGAGATGATTTCAAGGCTTAGCGTCCCCGCGGCCCGGTCCTTGACCAGGCCTCCTTTTTGTTACACATGCCCAAGAAGCAGCTCATAGCAGCTGTCAAACTCCCAGGTACCTATTTACTGCTATGTAACGGGCATCAGGGTGAAAGAAACATTTTGTCCATTTGTCTCTGCCTCCACCGGGAATCGAACCTGGAATCCCAGGACTACGAATCCGAAGCGCTGTCCAATTCAGCTGTCAAGCGCTGTCAGACGTTGCACTAGGTCTAAATCCATCTTGGCCCCAAAGGATTCAAATATGACAGGGCAGAGTGATTCTGCACTGAATCAACAGGGATTTTATCCTATGTCATGTCGGATCATGATGGTACTGGAGGGTCTCTGGAGACAAGAGCAGCTCAGCTTGGAGTGTGATCAGAAAAAGTTAATTTCTAAATACTTAGTCTTTCGTAGCCCTTCGTGGCCTCTCAACAGACCTTCCAGCTCTCACAAACACCAGTTGGCCCACCTTAATACTCCATTTACCACTAGATGGCAGAACCCAGTTCTCTGCCTTAAGTCTTGTCAAACATTCTTCCTGACTGAATGTTTGGGGGACCCTCCTATCCCACCAACTTGTTGGGGGGGGGGGTAGTGCTAACAAGCTCGCACTTGTTTAAAGAGATTCGATCGTTAGTTTATTGTTGGGGGAGTTCATTCAGCTGTTTTGAGGCTTTGGTCTCTTTGATCCAAGCAGTGGTCTGTCTATATTGGTTCACAGACTTTGTGGATGATTTCCCAGTGGGGTGGCATGGTGTCTCCTGCTCTCTGTACTGAGGGGGCACCAAATTCTGGCTCTAGTGCTTGGTAGGTCAAATATAACTCCACAGCTGATGTGACCATGTTGTTGGGGACCATCTCAGCAAGATAGGTTCAGGAAGCAAGTGGGGCTCACCCAGAAAAAGGTGTTTCACTACATTCAGTGCTGGGTTTCTTGTTTCTATTTAATATGCATTACATGTATTTTTTTTATCATTGTGTGTGTGTGTGTGTTTAAAGTATACAGTGTCAAATTTTTGTCAGTTGAAAAAAATTGTGAAACTCTCATATTCGGATGTCCTCCACCATGCACTGTGACCCTCTAATGTGTTAAAAATGTCATGAAATAAGGAACAAATAATCACTTATAAGCAGTTATGGTACTGTGCTATGATTATTTGCTGTTTAATCAACTCAAGCAGGAAAGTGATATTTTCCTCTCCTAATATGTGCTAGTCTTGTTATTTGAATTTCAGGGGTTTGATGTTACATTTTTATAGTAATAGATCAAAAGGCTCATGGTTTGAATATACGTATTTCTCAAGAAACTTATGCAAACTCACAGTGCCTCACCTTTATCTTTTACTCACAGATCCTGTGTATGGTAAGGCAACCCCAGGAAAATGATTCAACAGCTATGTATTATTTCCATTTAGTTTGTCTTTGTAAGTCCTTCTAACAGATACGCATCCTTTAGACCAGAGTGTTCAACCATACACAATACTTGTTTTCTGGGACGGACCCCTCAGTAGCTTCCCCGGTGCTTAAACGCTCGAATCACAAGTCTTAGGATCATGTCATGCTTCTGAGACCCATGTTGACCTGCTGAGAGAAGAGTCTGAAGGAAATTTGGGATCAAAGAGAGAAAAATAGACCAGAGTCTGAGACAAAACAAAATAAACCTGATGTGTTTGATTGTGGGCCCAGAGTCCTGGTACTTACCTATCAGTTACTATGGGGAAGAGAGGTAAAGCTCTACATATTCTGCCTTGGTGTGCCCGGGGTTTCTGGGCTTTACTTATATATCTATGACTATGGGGAGTGAGACCTAACTCTTTGTGCTTCATCATTTAACCGTTTATACGTGACATATTAAGTATCTCTCTCAACATTAACATTTTTTTTTCATAAAGTTATATATGGAATAGATTTCAGCAACCTCTTCCTTTAATGAATTTCACATGCCGACCACACATACAAGGAACGAGGACTTCTCTACATCTCTCAACTCAGTTGCGTATCCAGCTCCCGCTGATGTCTCCCTTGTCCTACTTCCTTTGAATTTGTATAAGCTTCCTTTGCCCACTTTGTCTATTCCCCTCAGACTCTTGTATGTAGCGATGATATTCCCTCTGTTTCTTCTCTCTTCTAAGGTTCTGAGGGAGAGTTCTCTCAGCCTGTCCTCATAGTTGAGCCCTTTGAATTCTCTTACTAATCTACTAGTTGCAAATCTCTGAACTTTCTCTAATTTCTTTTTTGTTTCAAAAGGTACAGGTTCCATGCTGGTGCTGTATACTCAAGTAAATGATGTTCCTTATGTTTACTAACTTCTGATATGCTGGTGATGTTATCCTATATACATGAGCTTCTGGTGTTAGTGTTGGGATGATGTATACTTTTCTGGTCTTTTTGTCTTATTGTTTCTTGTAATGGCCCTCCCCTTAATGATTTATTGTGAAGTTAAATATAGGTCTCCTGTCTCCCTCACACATTTTCATTACCTTACAATTATTTGTATTGAAAGTAGCCCACTCCTGAAGTTTGTGAAGGTCTTCTTGCAGCATCCTTCAGTCCTTACTCTCCTCATTAACTTTGTATTGTATGCAAACATTGACTTGTATGAGCTCACTCCCTCTAGGAGTTTTTTTTTTTACATAAATTTCAAAGAGCAGTGGGTCTAAGAAAAGTGTAACAACACTTTTCATTCCTCTCTAGTCTCGCATAGCCTCTCTTACCATGACTCTTTGTTTCCTACCCATCAGGTACTCCCTTACCAAGGCTAGTGCCCTTTGTGTTTTCTCCACTTATCTGGCCATCTCGTGTATTATTCTGGAGCATACCTGGAGAGGGTTTCAGGAATTCAACTCCACTAGCCTGGCCTGTGATAATTTGGTCCAACAGGCTGTTTCTTGGAGTGGCCCGCAGGCCCACATACCACTACAGCCTGGTTGGTCCGACATTTCTTGCAAGAACCTGTCCTTATGCCTCTTGAATACATCCACCTTTGTTCTGACAATATTTTTAATGCTTGCTAGGAGGGTGTTGAACAGCCGTGGACTCCTGATATTAAGACAGTGCTCTCTGATTGTGTGTGTGGCATCACCTCTACTTATTGGTTCTATTCTGCATTTCCTTCTGTATCTTTCACTCCAGTATGTTGATATTCTACTGTGCAAATTTGGGACCTGGCCTTCCAGTATCTTCCATGTACAGTATATATATTATTTTCTATCTTTCTCGTCTCCTTTCCAGAGAATACATTTTTAGAGCTTTGAGACGGTCCCAATAATTTAGACGTTTTATCATTTCTATGCTTGCTGTATATGTTCTCTGTATTCCCTTTAATTCAGAGATCTCTCCCACTCTGAAAGTGGAAGTGAGTACCAAGCAATACTCAAAGACAGGTCAACACCAGTAATTTAAATAGTATTACCTTTGCTCTGTATTAGCAGTCTGTTGTGTGGGATTGTATCAAAAGGTTCCTGGCAGTCTTAAGAAGATGCAGTCTACCCATTTTTCCTTCTTTTGCCTTATTTTAAATGCCTTGTTGCAGAATTAAGTCAATAAGCTTGTTAAGCATGATTTTCCCTATCTGAAACCATGTTGTACCTCTGTTGTAAAATTACTCTCCCCAAATGTTTTACAGTCCTTTTAGTGTACACGTCCCTGGGGTTCAGCTTTAGAAGTTTGCTTGGTAGTTTTGGGCGCCGGTTTGCAGCACCCTGCCTGGGACTACCTGAGCGCGAGTCCTCTTAAAGTAAACGCTCAGGACCCTGGGAATCCCCTAGGGGGCGCGTGGGTCCGATGGATGTGACCCCGGAGTCCCCACTCGCTGTGTGCGAGTTTGAGGGTTGCTCGGTCCCCTTGTCTCAGGGTGACCCTCATTGTTTTTGCCTCTGCCACGCTGCCTGTTGGGTCGGTGATACTTTCGACCCTGAGTCCTGTGAGTGTTGCTGCTTGCTTGTGACTCAATTTACCCAATCCTCTGATTCTATTCGGGTACAGGCGGCACGTGCGTTGCAGTCTAGGTTTCGTCTGTTGCAACGCGCTCGGTTGGTTGCTTCCCCGGATGCCCCGGGGCTGCCCCGCTTTGCTTTTCGAGACCCGGCCTTGGGGGTGGGGGTCGCTTCGATCCTGGTTCAGTCCGCACCTCCTCGTCCTTCCCCTTCTGTTCGTTCTGGTCCCCCGCCCCTGCTTCCGGCCCCGAAGCGTCTGAGGGTTTCGGGGTCGGAGCAGGGGTTACTTGATCTCGAGACTCGGGCAGCTTCGGGGGTTGCCCCTTCCGGGGGGGCGGCAGAGGCATTCGAGTCTTGTCTCCCGGCCAAAGCTTCAGGGTCTGACCAGTGGGCCCCTCTTCCTCCAGCTTTTCCGGCTGCTCCGTCCTTGTCTTGTGGGGTCGGGGCTTGGGGAGAGGACTCGGCCTCGGGTCCTGTGGTGACGGACCTCGAGGCTGGGGAGGGGCTGACTTGGGGGCCTTGGGCCCCGCTGGACCCCGCCGGGGTTTTTCTTCCCACTGAGCGGGGCTTATTGTTACAAGGAGTGGGGTTTTCTTTCCCCCCCTCTGCGTACGAGTTGGATTTGGTGTAGGCCCCTCCCCGGGTATGGTTCCGTGTTCCCCTGGGTACGTCGGTTCCGTCCTTCCGGAGGTTTTCGGCTTATCGCATCCAACCTGGTGTGGTGCGAGCGGCCTTTGCAGCTTACCTCCTGCGTGACCCGGATTATGCCTCGGAAATGGATCCGTCCACGTCAAGGTTGGGACTTCGTTCCCTTTCTGGCTCCGTTACGAGGTTCCGGAGTAGTCCTGGCTAGCAGACTGCCCCTTGTTTGGTCTGGATTCCTGGCATTCCTTCTGTCGTTCCCGCACGCTGGAGTGGCGGGAAGCTTCCACGGTGCTTCAGGTTTTCCTGGGGGGTGAACTTGAGTACCTGAATGAGTGCTTGTTTGCCCCTGCCCTTCCCCACGATGTGGGCGTTATTCAGCTCCATGTGCAGGTTCCCTCCCTTTCGGCGACGCTCGTGGCGGAGGACTTGCGCGCTCGGGGCCTTTTGTGTTCGGCCTTGCGGTTCTTTTCCCTCCTGGAGCTGTCTTCGGATTGGCTCGTGGAGGATGTGGGGACGCTTGGGTCCGTCCCGGGGTCCGGCACCTTGTCCTCGGCTGCGCGTTCGTCGGCTGCCTTGTTGAAGCTGTTCACGCCGATTTTGCGGGATGCGGTTTCCCTGTTCTATGCTTCCCGTCTCGCGTGTCGGCAGGCGGTGCTGGGTTCCTCCATGGGATCTGCTTGGGCTCTGGCTCTTAGGCGTTCTTCACCTTTTTGTCCTCTCCTGTTTGGGGAGTCGGCCGTGGCGCAGTTTATTCAGGCTGCGTCGGCGGCTTGTCGTCCGATGTCGGACTTGTTGGTTTTCCGGGGGTCCCGGGGTGGGTCTTCCCGGAAAGGTCGTGCCAGGGCTCGGGGTTCCTCTCGTCGTGGTAGGCCTCTGGTGTCAGGTTTGGGGTTGGCTCCTCCTGCGGACCCTCCCTCGTCTGGTCGGCGCGGTGTTCGCGCTGTGCGGGGTTCTGGGTCTCGTAGGGGTCGCCGGCCCTTTCGCGGTTTGCCCCTTTGACGGGGCGATGGGGGGGCGGCTTGCGCTGTTCGCCCGCGCCTGGTCCCACGATTCGTGGGCCTTTCGGGTCGTGTCTCGCGGCCTGCGGTGGCGTTGGGTGGCCCCTCCCCTCTTTGGGGGGTCGGGGCTGGCAGGGCAGGCTTCTTCCCCTGCGCTCTGTCGAGTCGTCTTGGAGTGGGTACGCTTGGGCGTCGTCGAAACGACGTCGTCCCTCAGATGGGTTTCCCGTCTGTTTCCGGTTCCGAAACGGGACTGCGCGGACCTGCGGTTCATTCTGGACTTGTCCCGTCTGAACCCCTGGGTTCATTCCCCCTCCTTTCGGATGACTACGCTGTCTCAGGTTCGGCTCCTCTTGGAGCCGGGAGCTTGGATGGTGTCCCTGGACCTCCGGGACGCTTATTGGCATGTCCCGATTCATCCGCGGTTCAGGGACTGGCTCGGTTTTGTAGTGGGGCGTCTGAGTTACTGCTTTCGTTGTCTCCCATTCGGGTTGAACCTGGCACCTCGCGTGTTCACACGCCTTACACGGGTTGTGGTGGCTCGTTTGCGTCTCCTAGGTGTTCGAGTGTTGGCCTACCTCGACAACTGGCTGGTTTGGGCTCCCAGCCAGTCAGCTTGCTTGCTAGCCAGGGATTTGGTTCTTTCCCAGCTCGCCGGGTTCGGGTTCTTGGTGAACTGGAGGAAGTCCCATCTGGTTCCCTCTCAGGTTCGGACATGGCTGGGTCTCGTGTGGGACTCTCGAACCGCCTCCTTGTCTCTCCCTCCGGAGTCTCTCCTGCGGCTG